GGAGCCAGTATTGTGACAAAGATCAGAAGCATTCTAACAACCTGCACCACAGCTAATCTCTCGGTAGCATTCTGGATCACTTAGGAATTTTCACAAAGCACATTCTGGGTGGCTAATCTGTAAGGATTAATGTCAAAGTACAACCAAGAGGGAATACACAAAGAGAAAAAGCAAAATCATAAAGGTTGTTTAATCTTCTGATTTAGCTGTCCAATTCTGAATGGCTGGGGTCCACAGGCCCCCTGGACACTCACTGCATGGGCTGCACACCATGTTGTACTGCACTGTGTGGATGACCCTCTGCTGTCTTGTACCACGCAGTGAGGGCCTGCCCTCCCCGCCAACTGCACTGTGCCAGGGGCCCTGTCCCCCACACTATGCGCTCTCCCCCTGCCACGTGGGGCAGGTGTTCCTCTTGCTGTACCATGCCAGCACTCCCATACCACACAGAGTATCTAGGTCCCTACAGTCCTCCAGCCACAGGCACCCTCGGCCAGGCTGTGCTGCCCAGCCTTCCGGGGTGGTGGCAAGTGAAAACTACAGGAAGGATGGGGAGCACAGGGGCCACAGCTTGACCTCTTAAAAGCCACATGCAGCCCAATGGTTGGATCTAATTCCAACCTGCATTAAGGGTTTATTTAGGTCCCTAACAAAGCCCACATGCCTACAGAGATGACCCTTGGCTACAGAAATAAGAAGAGTTATGTCATTTTTCCAATTAAGAGAATGTCAGTTTTGCTTAGGCTTCAGACCTGGTCACTGCCTCTAAAACGCATGTCACTGTTCTCAACTGTAAGGTTAATTTTAAATATAAATAAAACATTTGAACAGGGCAAGATACAATGTTAACACTTGTACATTTGTTGGGAGCTGCAGAGGTTTCTTTAGATGCATTTTCTGCTTTCTGGTATGAATTTAAAATACTTAATTCCAGGTAAATTTCTACCAAATTTAAACTTCCTTAGGCCTAAGCATCTAAAAAAAATAATTGTGGATGCTAATTGGCTCATCTAAAACAACCTTGGCAGGTAAACATTATTCCCAGATTGAAATAAAGAAGGGAAATAGTCAGAGCAAGGTTAGTTGAGGCATTGGACACACACTACATTTGTGGCAGTGCTAACATGCTGTAGAGCTACAACAAGCAAGTGCCCATGCATGCAAGTCATCTATAGCACTGCAAAAAGTGGCAGATCTGTTGCAAAAGTTTTCCTCTTCCAAAGAGGATCTTCTCTGTGGTGCTGTTTTGGACAGCGAATGTCTGGACACGTAACATTACAGGGCGGTCTTTTGGACCCTCAGTGCCCTACAGTCCTCTGCTCTGCCTTCCCCACCACTCCTCCAAGGGGAGGAAGGGAGATCGGCTGCCTCCCTGATAGCTCGCACAGTTGTGGCAAGCTGTTACAAAGCCCTGCTGTGCTCCCATGGGGTCGATCCCAGCAGAAACTGCTGCCTCAACCACCAATGCCCAAGGACACCAGCTTGTGCTGATCCTCCTGCTGCACTGGCTGTCCCTGAGAAAGCTGTTCCCTCCACCTCCCTCTTCACCACTGATGGTGGGGAGGGGACAAGCTGCCAGTGACAGCTCACAGACAGGGTCCCCTGGGGTCTTGTGGGTAGGGCACAGGAGCCAACTGGGGGGTAGGGCAAAGAAGCCCCTATCAGCCACTGGCTGGGCAGTGTGCCTCTGAGACAAATTAGCAGTGCTTGATTCAGGGGCCAGTCCCCCATAGTGTTTTATTTCTGTAGTACTACAAAGTGCCTCACTGATACCAGCATGTATCCAAAGCTTGAGTTACACTAAATCCAACTATCAGTCAGGAGCAGAGTCAGAAACAGCATCTGTATCTTCCAAGTTCGGCCCTGTGCCCAAAAAACTAGACCAAGCTCCCTCCCTTGTGTGGACATTCCCTGGCAACACACCCCAGAGTGCAGAAGGCATATGCACTCCAGGGGAGCAATGCAATGATTTCCTCTTACAAAACATAATGCAAGCCTCCAGAACCACAGGCTGGCTTCATCAGAGAAACCCTTGAGGAACAAGTTTCCACATAAGTGACACTGGCAAATCTCTGCACTTCTCTGTGCATCTGTTTCCACTTCTGCTTTTTCCTCTGTCTATACTGGAAGAACTTCAAGGTACTGTCTCTCTGGCCACAGTTTGTTGCAAAACATGTCCCAAATCCCAGTCAGCTTTTCCAGGTATCACTGTAACAAATATATAACAAATCCAAATGAAACGTATGCAGGGATGGAATTGGGGGACGGGGGCAGGTGAAGGTGCAGTTGCACCCCCTTTGATTCCTGTTCTACCCAAACTTTAAAACCAATCGCCTGGGAGTGGCAGCAGCATTTCTGTTCAGGCAGCAATGAATCAACTGACTTCATGGCTCATTATAATTTACCTGTTTCCTGCTAATGCCTCCTTGTAGGTGCTAACAACCCCCCTCTCCTTTTTAATGGTCTTGGTATTCCACTATCCAACTTTCTCCTGTGATTTTGCTGTCTATCAGCCATTCCTGGTAAAGTCTCTCTTTGATTTCACAGCCCTGCAGAGCTTTTAGCTCTAGCTAAAAACATTAATTTTAACTGTAATGATTACAGAACTAATGAAACACTATCTTTTTACTACTGTGACCATTTTTGGCCTAGGTTTTGTGATTTTTAAATTTAATATATAATCTAGCAAATTAGGGCATATTCCAATAATGTTATGTCTATTTTACTTTGATCTTAAACTGAATAATGTAGTGCTAGGCCCCTAGCATATTGGTAAAGTTTCTAAATTATCTTTAATTGGCAAAATATGTGTGTCATTATATGCGATGATGTATCACACCACCTGCACCCCGCTTTTAAAAAATCCTAGATCCACCCATGGGCATATGTCATTCAAAAGATCTATGGTCCAAGCGACAAACAAGAAATGTCTAAGGTTCCCAGAACAACAGGTTTAAATCAGAGTAAGTTAAACTTAGCCATGCATCCATGCAAAGGACAAAGCTTGAATTCTATGTGGTTTACCATATGGAGGCTTAGTGAGGATGCCTGAGGTCCTTTCTGCATGTCATACAGAGGAAGATGATTGTTTTGGTGCACTTAGACAACACTTCCCTTCCCCTCCCAATCTCGACTTTGCCAGATGTTTTCCTGATTGTATCCTTTCCTAGAAAAGCTGCACTTCAATATTTAAGGTATACAGAAGCACAAGAAGTGCTCTGGATTCCTATGGTATGAAAACTGCTTCATATTAATCCATAGACTTAGATACCAGAGAGATGAGTGACTAAAACCCTCCAGCAATGAGAAGATACCACAAACCAGCCAAAGAATAAATTACTGGACCTCCTTACTTGTTAAAATTAAGAAGCACTAAAGTGGGTATCCTTCTAAATGTCATGGCCCAAAGGGTATGATTTTGTGTGTGCTTCGGCACTGCAGAATTATTTCCCGCCACATGGAGCTTTCTTTGCACGGTGCAATTCTCAGTTGCAGAGAGAAAACCCCGGTGCAAAGGAGTTCCCGCCACCCGTATGTAAATTTGTGTCCCACTATTGGCTATTTCTAAATTATTCCCACGTGGCGGCTAGCGATTGGCTTGCTAGCCGTATGAGGCTAGAGCAGTTTCTGCCCAAGTTGGAGGACTCCACAACCATCTCCTGGAGGAGGAGAAGGAGGACTTCACATCTCGTGAAGAACTCTAAGCGCGCTGTGGAGCTTAACGAACCCAGCGTGTGCCTTAAGAAGGATATAGGGGCCCGATCAACCTCTAGCCTCTCCCCATCGCCGCCTGATCCCTCGACATACCCTTCCCTGTGCGCTTTCGTGGACAGTCACCTTTCGGACTCTCCTTGTGGTATCCAGAGCTCTTCTCGAGGTTATTTTGTCTGGTTGATTCGACAGGCTCGCGGTTCTAGAGCTCTCAGCTGGCCTTGGACCAGAGTTCGCGGTTAGAACTCTTGTCTGCTGTCCTTCTTTACTATCTGTAACTGCAATGCAAGCAAGTTTTCCTGCCTGCACCGCGACCACCTACGATGTAAGTAAAATAACCTTTAATCAACCTCTACGCGTCAGTGCCTAATTCTAGTTCGCAGTGCCAAGACCTTTTCCCCGGCCCACGTGCCCGGGCTGCTGGCCACAGCCCCTTGGCCCCAACACTAAATATGCACCAAAAACCTCATGCTGCAATTTCTGAATGGAAAAAAGCCTATTTCTGACATACTCTTTGATTTGATGTCATGGGCGCAAGAGAATAAAATCACACTGACCTGCTGAAATGAAGCAGCCTCTTCATGTTCGCTCTTGAAATATTAATAAAATAAAAGCTTGTTTAGTCATACTAGTTTATTTGTAGCATTCATCCATACTCAGAAACAATTACAAATTACACTGAAAGTTTATAATGGAGAATGTCATTATTTAATATAAGATACGGAGGATTCATAATAGAAATGTACTTACCTACAGGACTGAATGCAATTTATATATAAATTAGCTTATATTTTTTCTATTCACAAACACATATACAGAAAATTAAATTGTTTAGGAAAGAAGTTCATTTTGTTGTTTTGGGACGCTTTGCTGCATTTGTGCCATCAGAGAAAATGCTGTTTCATTGCTTTAAACTGCAAAATAAGACTACGAATTTCTCAGAAGCAATTTAGAATGGATGCATCAGCAAAGACCACAATGCAGCAGAGATAAGAAGCCTCCTCAGCCAATACTCATGAACAACCAAGAAAACAAATACATGTTAACAGAATGCAGAGATTCAGTTATAGCCATCAACTTACTGTCATTTCTAATTCTACAAATCTTATTCTGAAGATTAGTAGCTTCTTGTGAAGCTCAGCTAGTAATAATTATATATTGTTTTAGTAAAAATGAAAAACAACAACTTTTGTTTTATTAGAGTCTGCAAAATTTACTGAAGTGCCTTTGAAAATCCTATTCCAAGGGCATTAGGTATTTAAACAACACTTAAACTGAGAATGAGCTGGTAGTCTTTAAAAAGTTTCAGTTTTAATGAATAACATTGACTTTGTTTCCGTAAAAGAGTATTAAATAATCAGATTTACATATTTTGGTCATTAACACAAAAAGTCTTCACTGCTGGAGCAAAGCACATGGAGGTTTTTAATGCATATACTGCAACACATAATGCTGAAAATTCTCCACCAGGTATTAAGTACCTCCTGAAAACATCTGACAGTAAAAAAAAAAAAAGTACCAATCAAGCCCTCCCACAATACTGCAAATGAAATAAACATATTCATTTTGGTGAATACCACACTACCTGGCATAAAGCCATGTTTCACAAAGATAACACTACAGAAGTCCATATGAAGAACATGTTTAGATCACTTTTCATCTATTTTTACAAAGAAAATGCTTCCTTATAGATATTTCAAATGAAAAGGTGCATTTTTTAAAGTCTAGTGATAAGAGATTTTCTTCCAAAAGCACTATGAATAGTTTCACTTTACATGATTTATTTCCAAGTAGATACTAACAACTCCCAAACTAATCTGGAAAAGACATTATCATAAAAGGGATCCAAGTATGTCAAAGAATGTTGAGAGAGATTTTGTAATTTGAAATGTTTCTCATGTCTTTGAAATAGAATGTATACGTTGTTCATAAAAAGAGACATGAAAATGCTGAGTGTGTTAGGAAACCATGCACCTATTGTATAGTGCTACATATATGTCAGATTATATATTAGTGATTATGATTATGTATTAGTTCAATTTAATGTGGGTAGACTTTTTTAACAATATTTTTAGTTTTAACTGTAAAAAAAACAGGAAAAGTTCAACAGATTAAAAAAAATTAAATTAAGATGATACGGTCCTGTATTTTTCAGACTCAGAGATTTGCTTTTCATTTATGAAGGGCCTTTTATAATCACTACAGAGATTACTATTGACTTCTTGCTTACAAGACAAAAACATGTTAAGACATAGCTTGGGAATGTTTTAGCATTTTTGTGGTGTTAGCTTAAATGAATTCATTCTTCCAAAAGGGTTAATAGTACACAGAAAAGGCAAACAGTATATACAGCTGCCACTGCTTGCACTGAGAAGAGAATTATAAGAGGCTCACAAGAAAGATAAGACCTCAGAGAAAAAAAAAAACACACTGCATCTTTTACAGTGGTTTTAGTGCACCAGTTCAGGCTGATTTTCTACAAAAGGAAGTACCCCACTAACGTAGTATGCAATTCCAAGAGACAGAAGGGCAATAACAAAGATGAGGAGCAGCACTCTCCAGAAGCCCAGGTCCTCCACAAACTCTTGCCATGTTGTGCGGAAGCTGGAAAGAACCCCTTCACCTTGCTGCAGGTTTGGATTAAGGAGGGAGTGGCTTTCCATTGCGCTGTGAAGAATAAAAAGTATAGATATATCAAGTAAAAGAATACATCTTTAAGTAGGCTAGTAATCTTTTCAGCTCAACTAAAATATTCTAAATACAGAAGCAAACACACTTTCAGGTTTACAATACTGCCTCATCAATCTAAAGGCAAGAAAAATAGGAAAAGGACTCCTTCCACTCTCCCACCTCAAAACCAATACACAACAGTCAGCAAGCAAAGTCTTTGAAACCAACTTTCCAATAATCTTTGATATGCATAAACGGAGTGGTATTTGATCTGTGCAAATGAAGGGTTTGTGTGGCTATGAATTAGAAGCCTTTTGAAAATGTGTTCCTGTGAGTCCTACTGCCTAAACCGTAACAAATTTAATGAAGTATAATTTAAGTATAGCTGTGTGTATCAATACAAATGGTGAATTGTCATTTAGAAGTAACCCCTTCCGATTATAAAAGGAAACTGTAGTCAGTGCATTTTGGGTACTGAACATTCTGAATTTTGAAAAAAGATGAATTTAATTTAACTGAACTACATAGTTACAAGGCTTCTTTCACAGCTAAAACTTTCTAGGCACAAACATTTCAGAGAAAATATTTATCCTGACAAAGTTTAGAAACTGAGATCTTCTCTTGGAACAGGAACGGGCAATTATTTCAGCTGGAACGCTGCTTAATGACTTTAGTGAGCTGTCAAGGGCCGCAAGGGTAGCCCTGCCACTTGACAGGAGCCCCGTCCCCTGACCACCAGTTTGGGACTGGAAGTGCCACCTCAACCCTTGACCTTTGCCACTGGACATCTGTCTCCTTGCCTCCAGAAGTACTAGTTGGGGGGGAAGCGAAGAATTGCCATCTTGGAACCAAAAAAACCCAAATCATATACTAAAATCCAACATCTGCTATAACATATTTTATTTCAAAAACTGTTTTTGTCCTGATTTACGTGCGTTTAAATAGCGTAAATGATTAGAGATATAGAGATGATTGCATTATAGTTCAAAATAAAGTCTTACTCTTGTATATTGAGTGTGGGGGCTGTGGTTGGCAAGGTGTGTGTGTGTGGGGTTTCTGGAGGGGTGGGTATGTGGTGTATGTATGGGGGGTGGGATTTGTGAGGGGCCTGTGGGCAGGATGTGGGCCCCCCTGCCACATGCCCCCCCCAGCAGCAGAAGGCGGGCCCTCAGGGTGCTCATGGCATTGGCACGTGCCTTCAAACCAGACTGAGCTGGCTCCATGCTAGCATATAGGGCTCCCGGCACTGGAGGTGGGAGCCATGTGCCATCAGCTGGGTTGGGGTGGCTCTATGCCTCCACATGGGGCTTCCAGCACTCGGGTGGCTTGGATCCAGCCTGGCCTCATGGCACACAGATACAAAGCCGCAGGGAGTCATGTCCCATTGTGCTGGGCTGGCTCCATGCCAGCATGTGTGGCTCCCTGCTGGAGTACTAAAGCCCCACATGAAGGCACAGAGCCAGCCTGGCCTGATGACACATGGCTTCCACCTACAGTGCCAGGAGCCCCACATAGTGGCATGGAGCCAGCCTGGTCTGGCCTGAAGGCACACGGCAGTAGGCTGGACCAGGCATTGCTCCTGGGACACAGGTGGAGCTATGTGCCACTGGGAGCTCTGCCTGCCATGGGCCATGAGCACCCTTAGGGCCTGCCTGCTGCTGCTGGCGGCAAGGGCTATGCGCCATGGGGGGTGGGGAATGTGGGAGGGGGGAAATGTGGTGGGGGGCCCCACATCCACCCACAACCCTACCCCCACCTCCTGTAGGCAGGACCTCTCCTCCCCACTCACATGCCATCATGCTCAGTGCCTCTACATGGGCCTCCTAGGTGGAGTGCAGGAGCCCCACAGAGGTGGAGGCACAGAGCCTGCCAGGTCTGATGGTGCATGACCTCTGAAAGCCCTCCTCTGGCTGCCTTTCAGAGGTGCAGCCATGGGCCGGTAATAATTTTTCTTTGGAGGGGCCCTGCAGGCCAGATAAAATGACCTGGTGGGCCAGATCAGGTCTGTGGGCTATAGTTTGGCCATCTCTGTCTTGGAAACAGTTAACATTGCTATGCTCTGCTACCAGAATACAAAACATGCCACTGAAGCGTAACCATGTCACCAGCAATCTGGGAACTGCTCCATCCTATGAATTTCTCTTGTCAGAACTATAAATTTGGGACCTGAAAAATCTAGTTATCATTTAATATAAAATTATTAAAAGGGACACAATCAGCTTGAAATCAAGTCAGTCTGAAAAAGTTAAATACAAGTAATTTCAGATGCTACTTTCCCTTGTGTTCCTGTGCCACTTCTTGTGGTTTTATACGTGCAATAGTTAGAAACACGTTTGTCTTTGCTCTATGGCTATATGAAAGAACCATGCAAACAACAGGAGAATTGACTCATGGCCTGACACCAAATTCCTAGGCATGTGTGTAACCCGACCAATTTGAAAAATCCCATGACTTCTCACATGAGCAAAATTACATGCATGTAGGCTTGCAGGATCAGGGATCAGATTGCACACAGAGAGGAAAGCAGTGAAACTAGCCATGCACCTAAGTCATCCTATGGCACATCCCAGGGCACAAAGCAAACAAAGGGGAAACAGAATTTCTCCCAATCTTTTTCAGTTACAATAATCTTAGGTGTTTCTTGTAATAATGTGAAAAAAATGTTTCAGAAAAAGCATAATTTGCAAGTTAACATGATCCATTTAGACCTTCTGATGTGACTAAATCAAACAGGAATGTGTCACTAGTAGAAAGATTAATTTGTAAACCCTTGTCCAAAATTAAACCTCTGATCACCTTTAGTATTATTTATGTGGCATTTTACTTATCATGACGTACAACTACTGAATCATAATTACATTAAGTTCCACTAGTCTACTGAAGTATTACAGTGCATCAGAAAGTTTCAGATATTTCCAGTAAGCAGCTTGGTTTTTTTAGTTTTTAAATATTTACTTGACTGTAAAGCTATTTTGGTTTGCCCGTAACTGCAGGAATTATGGGCAAATTTTCTACCACTTCTTATGATTTCTCAAACAAAACAAAGAGCTTATTAAACGACAACTGTTTGTTTAAAGAGAACCTCTTACTAATTAAACACCAACTAGTTAATATCTAACTACTACAGAGGTTAAATAAAGGTCCAGTGCAATCTAAATAAAGAGGTCATATGTTCATAGTAAAAAAAAGTTCTCACTGGTCTCAAGAAACCATCTGTGTTATTTTCCATTGCAATCAAATTAAAAGCAACCCTGAAATGGCAACAAGTGCCTGAATGCAAACTATTTTGGAAGAATTTGTGACACATATCCCAGATGCTTTTTTCCCCCACTTTTAACAAAAAACTTTAATATTTTGATAGAATGATGGTCTTAACTCATTGTGCAGTTACAGTCACATGTCACAAGAGCAAAGAAAAAAGTAAGATTCTCTACTCTAAAATACACTCTCTGCCCAGTGATAGCACAATGTGATACATTACTTAGGGGCAAAGAAAAGGAGAGAAAATCTTAGCTGGGAATCTAGTTGTGTCCACTTCCCTTGGCAAAAGCAACTCTGTGCAGTGAGAAGGGGACAGTAAATTTAGCCAAAAAGGGAATGAAGACTTTTGCATTGCTCCCTAAAAGCCTCTCCTGTCTAAAAGCAAAGCTTACTATCTCTATAGGGAACACCAATTATCCTTCTTTGGCTTCATGCATGGTGAGAGATAGGGAACAAAAGTGGGAATGCTGCACAGATCATCCCTAGAATCAAAAAATAATTTCAGAAGGTAAAAGTGAAACTAGAGAAACCAGAAAAACCAACCGCATTAGAGACAACCATTTTACTATTAAAAACACACTTCTTTTATCTGCATCTTTAATAATCATTATGATGATGATGATTATTCAGCGTTATCTTAAGGAAGATGTTTCAGACATTTTATAGTAGTTCTCAAACAAGTTGGGGAATATGCTGTTTGTACATATGCATTTCCAGAAAGCAAGCTACAAATCAAACAAGATAACATTAACAAAGAGAAAATAAGTTAAATTAAGTTACAAGCTGTAAAGGGACACTGTCAGATCAAAAATTATAGCTGAATCCTGTCCCTATTAAAATTAATGGTAAAACTCCCACTGGCTTCAAAAGGGCTTAGGCAGATGGGGTGAAAAATGTGTGTCAAAATATTTGAGATCCTTAAAATTTGGCAAGACTCAACCTAAGGCTGTATATTTGGACAAGAATTAACCCTGGATGTTCTAAGTTAACACTAATATTTTTGTAAAATTATGTTAAATATTAAAGCCCATCAACTGTGCTCTAGGCTTTAAACTGATCTCTATTAGGAATTAGGGGACACCTATTTTGGAGGAAAAGTTATACCGTATTTGCCTACTATAAGGTTTCTTGCACCTTTCTTATGAGGCATTTAGTCCCAGCCATTCATGCTCACTAGATTAAAAAGACCAATCTTTGGATCCAGAACATCACTGCATGCATCTCCTATCTAAGTGTGGAAGATACTTTAAAAAACAAATTTAACATTTCGGCATTTATTCTACTTGTTCAATTTTCACATTTTTCATTGTCTAAGTTGAGAGAAAGGCTAGCCCAGTTCACTGTCAGTTATAGTCAAGGCCCTGTATGTTCTAAAGCAAATACATGGACTCTAATTTTCCAACAAGATTTCTCATCTCTGGTGATGACATGGTGCTATATTAGGCCATTTTAAAACGTAAAATATAGAGGAATATAAAACAAAACAAATAAATATAAAACAACCTCCTGCATCATATCTAGTCCTCTGCTGTTACAGGCTACCACATCAAATTCAACCCTTCATAAATGTTTCAAGCTCCATTTTGAAATCAGCTATGCATTTTGCTCTCCTCCTGTTGGAAAGCTATTCCAGAACCCCACTGCTCAGGTGGTTTGACATTTTTTTCAAAAGGCAAGGGTCTCTTAGGGTGACAGCTTTTATTGGTCCAATTATGTAGTTGAGATAAAGTTAGACC